GAACATTGGACTTGATTAGCTTTACACTACCACTCTCCATCAATGAGCAGAAATCTTGACTTCTAATTTCACATAAAAGACTTTATAGATACTGTGGTTGACGTTTATAAATCATCTGAAATACTAAAGATGACATGTTCAAGTTCTATTTGAAATTTTTCTCACTTGGTTGGAAGTTAGAAGTTCCATTGATAACAAGAACATCCCTTGTCTTCCATTGGTATAGAAGTTCTAGCTATGTCTGCACCTCTAGAACAGAAGCAGATGCCCCAGAAATTACCTAAATTCCAAGGGATTATTTAGACTTGTGTTGAGTTTGTCTGTATTGAAAATTTCAAAATTATTCAATATCCACTACCTGCTTTTGTTTCATTGGTCCCCAAATATATTTCTTGTCTTTCAATATAATTGCATGGAATTTTAAGTAAATGCTTAGATTTTGGAATGTGATGTTGAGATAACTTTTCAAAGACTTTAAGCTTCAGAGAGAAAAGTGCTGTGTTCATTTATATGATTGATATTTATCCTTGTAAGTTCTTGAAAGGAAGACTAAGCAATTTTTGAGAACATGTTGCTGGTGGGTTTTTTTTAAAAAATGTGCCCCTTGGTGAATTGGTGTCAAATCAATCTCTCGCTTCTCTAGTGCAACGTGAATATTGCATTTCTTTTTGCCAGAGGATCATGAATCTAATTCCCTTCAGCATGTTCTGAGTTACAGAATGATTTTCTGCTCCTTGGGTTATCGTTACTCAATACAGACTCATTCACTGGGGCAAAAGGGTTTCTACTCCCCACCCACCACACACACATTGCCCAGGGAACTAGATGACTGATAGTAAAATGACTCAACATTTGCATCAGTTAGTGTTCTTTTAATCACCCTTCTTGCTTTATAAAGATGCTTTACAATCAAGTACTGGAGATTATTTTCAGCCAAACTTTTTATTGAAAAGTTTTTAGTCAACATAAAATACTTTCTCATTTTGATTTTTTTTTATTTGAAACTGTTCACAAAGTGTAAAAGAATCTCAAAGTCGTGCTAAGGCTTTTGGAATTAATATAAAATTAAAAAATGCTCTTCTATGTTTCAGTCCACCCTTCCTCACAGGTAATCCTTCCTAATGGAGTGTATGTTCCTGGACATACTGCTAGTGTGCAGTCTCTAATATAGAAATAGATTGACATAGCACAGAAGAGTTGTATGGACTTTAACTTACCCCGTATTTGTGTGTGCATATATTTGTGTTATAAAAAAGCATTGTACAGATATCTGCTTGCAGGTTTGATTCTTCTGAAGAATAATAATTTCTGAACATCTTTTTTGTCCAGCACACATGTGTTTTTCTTCTTTTAAAATAGCTGTATAGTGTACTATTGTATTTGTCTCTGCTGTGTTATGCAGACAGCACATTGCTTAACATTGATGGCACATTCTTATTTCTCTTTTGCCCTATCAGTCAGTATTATAATTACTATCATGTCCAGATGCTTCAAACACTAAGGCTGTTATGCCTCTAGGATATAAATGTCTAGATAAAAGGGCATATATACTAAGTGCTAGTGGTGTTCATAAGTATTTTATCAAAGAGACAGTCTACTATTCTGTTTATGATTGTTTTTGCAATCTATATAAGGAAGGATTTCTTTAAAAACCATTGCTGGGGCCAGCCTGATAGCTCAGCAGAATAAAGCGCCTGCTTAGGCAGAGCATAGCAGCTGGGGTTCGATCCCTGGTGTGCCATGCCAGCCCCAACCACCGGGGTGCGCTGAGACAGTGATTGAGATTGGGTGTGTTGGCGCGTGCCTGTAATCCCACCACTTGGGAGGCTGTAAACAGGAGGATCACTATGAGTCCGATCTACATAGTGAGACCCTGTAGACCCTGCCGATCCTGTCTTAAATACAGGAAGAAAAACAAAGAGATGAAAACAATCGCTGATATCTGAACTGAACCAACTAATTGACACTGCTATGTAGGCAACCCCATATAGCTCATCTAATTTGGTGAATGAGGGTGCGTGTCTGAATAAATATTTGTGTATTGATGTAACAACTTCAATTAGATCTGCCCCAATTCAAATTTGGTCTGCAATAAAGAGTTGAATCCTTAAGATTAGATATATGTAGGCTTTGGTTGATATCATAATGGAGTGATTTTCTTGGGTAGTTGCAAGTCCCCTGGACTTGAAAAACTCCAGTACCATTAATAGTGATAGGAACCTCACCAATATACTTAGATGGTGATTTCATTTTTATAATTATTCTTGTAAATGGTTCAACAGTCTGCATCATTTGGTTACTATATTCATTGCTCCATAGTGAACAGAAGAAAAGCCATGGGAGAGTTGTTAGGTGTACCTACCACATATTGACCAGTTTTTAGCCATTTATCCATGGCAAGGACAAACTACTTAACCTATAATTTAAAGGATAAAAGGGTTATTTTGGCTCCTGATTTTTAGAGGATTAAGTCCACCTCAGCTAATTCCAAGTAGAGACCCACAATACAAGGGTCTGGTAGAGGATAGCTGTCTGCCCCACGGCAGCCAGGAAGTAGGAAGAAGGAAGAGGGGACAGGAGGACAAGGGTGTACCCTTTAGGTCCCATGTGCAGTGAGCCATATCTGCCTCTGACAGCAAGTTCTCTGTGAGCCTATCAGTGAACTACTCCCCAAAGAATGTAGTCATCCCCAGATCTAATTGTTTTCCAAACATGGAGCACATCTCACATCTAAGCCACATAACTCTGTCCTCAAGACTCAAAAGGTTAATCTCATTATGCAAAATGAATTTAGCCCATATCTAAGCATTGTCAAAATCAACAGTTCCAGCACTGCTGAAAAGTTGAAGCCCAAAGTTTCCTCTAAGACTCAAGACAAATTTTTGTTTGTGGGAATCTGATTTAAAATAGACAAAAAATTAAATACAACAGCATAGGGTGAAAGTTCCCATCCCAAAAGAGAGTAACAGGAAGGTGGAAAGGAATTAGACGAAATGTCTGAGTCTGCTCCTCATGGCTGAGACACTACACCCAACACCTGAGACTTAAAGGAGGATCTATGTTGGCTCACAGTTTCCGGTGTGCAGCCCATGTTTACAGGTTCAAACATAGAACGTGGTGTGGTAGTTGAGCCTGCACATGTCATGGCAGCCAGGAAGTGGAGAGAAGGGCAGCCTGGGAGGGAGATGTGCCCTTTCTGGTCAAAGCACCAGTGACCAGCTTTCGCCAGGCAGGCTGGCCTCACAATGGCATGTTGGCCGTGATGCCATTGTTGAACCAAGCCTCGCATGAGATAGTGGCCCCATGTTCCAGCCACCACCTACAAGCCTGACTATGAGCACGTGTGGTCTTGGGGGACGTCTAGATTTAAACCACGACACCAAGGTAGCACAGAAACCAAGCAGGGCAAATGTAAAATCCTCAGCTCTGCGCTCAGCACCCTGGGCAGGTTGTTGTGAGATGTGAGATCCAGGTGGAGCACGATGGCCTTGAGGGCTGTGCGCCATGTGGCCTCTTCCTTGATTTGGTCCACTCGCTATCTCTGGTTGTCCACAGCAGGTCTTCCACATTCACGGCATCTCCACTTCCTGAGGTGCCAACTGCACTCTCAGCTTCACTCTCACAGCTTCACGCCGGGCCCTCTTCAGGGCGCAGTGTCTGGTCACCCAGGCCTCTACTTGAAATGTGGGTGGAAGCCTTCTTGACCCCACAATTTTGGCATTCTATCTGAGATATAGTTCAGTGGTACAGCACTTGCCTAGTGTGCTTGTTCTGAGTTCCCAATGCTACTACAAAAATGAATGAATAAAGAGATAAACAAAAACTTAAAGGGTCAAAACACAGAATTTAAAAGGCCTGCACTCCAGCCTTGATTTTGATATGGTTGAACATCTACATCAGTCATACAGTATTATTTTTAAAAAAATTTTCCCATCCTCCCTTTTATTTCATGTATTTGGTACAGGGTCTCACTAGGCAGCTCAGACCTGTGGTGATCCCTCTGTCTCAAGCTCTCCAGCCCTGGGATTACAGGCAGACTTGGTGGCCAGCTCAGCATACCTGGGGGTGGGCTGGCATGGCCCATGGTGCTGGGGGTTGAACACTTATCCCTGTACTTGCCTAAGCAGGTGCTTAGTCCACTGAACTATCTCTCTGGCCCACATCTCCCCTTCTTAGTATCAGTAGAAATGTGATGCTAGATAAATCTGCTGCTTTTCTTTTTTTTTTTTTTGGACAGAGTCTATGTGGCATGCAGGGTCTCACTGCATAGATCAGACTTGTAGTGATCCTCCCAGTTACAGCCTCCCAAGTGCTGGAATTATAGGCGTGTGCCTCCACTCCCAGTCTCAATCGCCATTTCAGCGTGCACAGGGGGTGGGGCCGGCACAGCTGGCCTGTGGATTGAACTCCCAGCTCTTGTGTCTGCCTAAGCAGGCCCTTTAATCCACTGAGATATTTGGCTGGCCCTTGCTGCTCTCTTTAGACTTTAAAATAATCATAAAATTTGTATGATATAATGATATACAGAGCTATAAGAATATAGATTGAATATATGTGAGTACATAAGAACATAAATATAAATAATTTTCATATACTATGGGCTTATGTGAAATAAACTAGTAGGTGCATTGTGGAAAATACTGGTAGAATATCTAGGAAAAAAAGAATATTTAGAAAATGAAGAATAAAGAAATAATAGAAGATAAAGTATAAAGTGATCTAAGCTAGAGAAGGCCCAATCTCTACTAAGTGCTACATGCATGAACTACTACAGTCAAGTGTTGCATAGCAAGAACATGTTCTGGCAGGCCCAGGTTCTGTGATCTCTCCAGCTGGGTAAGTTTCTTAGCATTTCTTTCCTTTCTATAGTCTTCACAAACCAACTTACTGATGTGAGGTCATTCCGAAGCATTTTGTTGCAAACATAAATACATTTGTATGCGTAGCTGTCATGTTCTTTGCCAAGAACCACAGCAGAATGAGCTGCCTTTATTTTTCAGAGTCTGCCACTAAAGAAGATTCCATGCAAAGCCAGCGCACCCTCCGGCTCCTTTTTTGCCCGAGACAACACAGCGAATTTCTTGTCCTGGTGTAGAGATCTAGGAGTGGATGAAACCTGTCTATTTGAATCTGAAGGTTTGGGTATGTATTTCCTTCAGAATTTTAGCTGATGAAATATTCCAGTTGTTCTGGTACAGTCAGGAGAAGTGGTGTTTTAGAAGATGTCTTTGCACAGATTATTATTGTTAAAATGCATGCAAGTATTTATTGCAAAGGTGCAGATCCACTGTAAGCTTGGAGGAAACAGCACGATGCTCCCCAAGTAAAAATGAAAAGCACTATGCAAATTGGTGGTTGTCTGGAAAATGTAACACTGAATTTTGCTACGAGGGACTAGTCTGGGTTAGAAGGACAGCTTTTTATGTTCCAGGCCTGAGAATATTTTTGTCTTCTTACCTGTACAAAGTAAGAAAATTTTCTGTCTCTTCCCATCAGTACTATCTCTATTAAACCTGAAGTTTATGTATTTATACCTTCACCTGTCTTTCTAGACATTTAGAAATCAGACATGCAAACAGGACATTTAGATATTTGAAGATGATAAGGCAAAACACAGACAGTTTATTGCCTAGGCCTAAAGAGTATTATGTCTTATTTTGTTTTCTGATTGAATTTTGGTAAAACGAGTTCCAGGTTACACAATGATCTTTTGTACACTGGGCTATTCATTATTTCCATATTACTTGGTACCTTGAGATTGACTGTTCACCTTCCTGTGGTCTCTACCACAGTATTACTCTAACACAAAAAACATTATAGTTGAAGCCCCAATTCAGTGACAAGGAGCTAAGAGAGGAAACATCTAGTGAAGAAAGTAAATGGTGCACTGTTTTGCATGATGTTTTAAAAATTCAATTTACAAAATCACACAGCACCAAATAGTAACACTAAGGGAAGCTAAACATCCTGCAGACAGAATGAGTTTATACATTGCCTTCAAAAGCATTAAACTGTCAGTGGTCCCTGAGCTTCACAAAGCAGTGTTTCTTCCACCAAACCTAGAGGCTTGGTGGTAACCACTGAAATTGTACTGATTTGTATATGCATAAAATAATTTCATCTGAGAGGAGATGATGTGCTACAAAAACACTGTTGTTAAATCCGAAGATTCCATCAGCACAGAAGAGAGAAACATCAATTGAGATGGAGAGAACACCCCAGACCTGAAGGAGAGCGTGAGCCAGGATCCCCGCATGCAGCTGCAGCGTGCTGTACTCACCAGGGGGTACCCTGGATGTAGGGGAAGAGGCTTTGCTTATGCCTGCCACTTCCCCATGTCCAAGCAAGAGGAATGTGGTATAAGACTTGTGTATGCGGACACATCTTATTTTGTTAGTTGAGTGGTAAATTTACAAATAGATTTCAACTTTCTGATTTGTAGGAAAGCACAGGAGAGAGTAAGAAGTAATTTGCAACCAAACCCTAGAGAGATCTAGTGGACGTGCACACACACACACACACACACACACACACACACTTCTGTATAGCAAAGTCTTATTTACAGAGCAGACATTCTACACATGGTACTCTGGATGTGTGGAAAATTTATGTCATGACTTAAAATTCTGGAGTACCCCCACATTGCCAAAAATCTGTCACATGAGGGAAGCTTTGCTACTATGAATATGTTATTAGTTGGTTCATTGTACAACTTTTCATTAAGGAAACATTTTTCATAAACTGTTATAAGCCAAGTGGTTACAAAGAGCTCAGTTTTCTCACAGTCCACGAGTTATTATGTTACTTGAATAAGTGCAGCGGAGAGAATCCAGGAAGAAATCTGTCTGGTACTGCATTTTCTGTCCTGGAAATACCACTGCAGTTCTCGGTTCCAGTGCATATTTGCACACATTATTTTCCCTGATGATTTAAAACCCCCAATTCAAGTAATAAAGGAATACATTTGTACTAAAACTATGATGCCTAACACAATTTATGTGATTACTTGGTATATAATGTCAAGAGTTTTGAGATGCCTTACTTAATTCACTATTATGTAAAATGAACTGCCACTATTTAAAAAGTCCATGATAACTTATACATGAAACTACTGAGTATTTTACTTTTCAAAAATCATTCAATTTTTAATTATAATCTAAACTAAGATTTCCCTGTGTAATTAAAGTGTATTTAAATATCCAAGGACGCTTACAAAAACCAAATTTTCAAGAGTTTCAGAATTTTTAAAATGGTCTTTAATCCTCTCAGTACCAAACTAACATATATAGTTAGGATATTGTCGTTGGCTGCCTTGCGACAAGATGGATTTGAAATTTCTGCTGCTCAGTGTAGGACCTGAGGTGACGTGGGCCTTGGTGACAGAAGGGAGGAGGTGAACGTTATGGAGCTGGCTTCCCTTCGAGGGGCGCAGGGGTGCTCACTCGTGTGCCCGGTAATGGAGAGAGAAGACAGTGAGAAATTCCGCTCCCCCCAGCGCAGGCCTGTCCCCTGGATGTCCCTCTGCGTCCCCTGGCTGAGCGAGGAGGCCCTGCGGCCGCTGCTGACCTCGCACTCCGCCTTCGCAGAATTCACTGTCCTGCGACAGCGACGCTGTGTGCTCCGCTTGAGGTCCTTTCACACTTCCCCTTGGAAAGCGAATTTAGGGCAAGGGTTTTCTTTCTTTCCTTTTCCTACCTCAAGATTTCATTTCAGTGGCACACAAGATGAAGAGGATCCTTTGTGTCCTACTGTTTTCAGCAGCAAATAAAATGAAAAGATGCCCTGATGAAAGGGGAAAATGCGTTTGAGTGAATGATAAAGCAGGTCGCTGCCCTGAGCGCGCATGAAGAGGCCTCTGTGTTTTGCTGTTCAAAGTCTTCGCCTGCATAAAGCGTCCTTATCTTTGTGGCAACTGATATACTTCCCTCTGGAGCCGTGCTTTTCTGTACAATTATTTGTCAGAGGATCTTGATTCTCAGCTTATTCGACCTGTTTTCTTTCCAAAACAGCTAATGACGAGAAGCCTCCCGGAGTAGGCAAGGTGTGGTGGGGGTGGACAGGGGAGTGTGGACCGCCGAGAGTCCCTGCACCTCCAGTCCTGGTGACTCTGGGCCCATAAGCCACCATGCCAGCTAGATGGCATCTAGGTCTTCATCTGAAATCAATCTTCCTTGACATTTTTGAGAGGTATTTCTTCCTTTGTGAAAGGCCAGTTCTTAGGTCCTCAGTTAACCATATCCTGATAAATGAGCCAATTGAAACATTATCAAAAGTCATGAAGAGCCTGCTTATGTAAGACGAAAGTCCAACTTAGATATCTAGATGTTGGGCACCTTCACCCCACTCCAGTATGAATAAGAGCTGTGAAAAGTTAGAGGAATAAATAATAATATGTTTTAGTGTTGGCAAATACATGAGAAAACAGTACCTTCCACACCCTGCCAAGGCAAACTGAAATTGGTAGTCTTGTTTTGAAGGGACCTCTGAAATGCCCATATAATTTAAATTGTTCTATTTCTAAAAGTTGAGCTGAAGGACATTAGAAGAAATAGGTAACAGAATATGCATTCGAACACGGAAAGACAAAAGCAGAATGTCAGCAGACATTAGATGTTAGGCTACACACGCTACACCAGTCCTTAGCTACCAATACCAGCCAGAAATCATATTCTTGAAACCACTGAAGGACAGGAGAAAAAGATGATGCACTGATAACATAAGATCATATAAAACCAAAAATCTATATTCAGATTTAGGAAAAAACAACAATAATTCTGTTGTGATATTTTCCTCACTTACCTATTAGAAATCTTTGGAAAATTAACAGTTATGGTCTTGAATCTGAAAAATGAACAATTAGTTTTATTTGTATTGCCATGCAATTGGGTAAATTTCGATAGAGTGTTATGGACAAGTTTATTGACAATATATTTATTGACAGCGTATTATAAAGGCGTTGTCACACTGTTTTGGTTTACTTGTACACTGCTGTAGTAGCAGATGTAGATTTTGCACAAAGTGTAGGTCATATCCTAATTTAATGGGATATGCTATGTATGGGGGCCACCATGCTCTCCGAACCATGCTGATATTTAAGCTAATGCCTTTCTTTTTCATCACTCCTAATAAAAATATATATTTTATTTTGTTAGATGTCTGTAAAATATTCAGGATTGCATTAAAATCCTAGATTAAATAATGATCATTCATATTTTCTTGATTTTGAAAGAATATAGTTTATCAGTCTAAAAACAAAATAATCTCCCAACAAGTATTTTAAAACATGGACTTGCAGTTGTGAAGTCAAAAACTAAAATGTTTAGAAGACACTAGAGAGTTCCTGGTCATCTAGATTAGCAGGGGTTTGGGGTGACAGGTCATCAGGATCCTTAAATTGTCTTCTGAGTTTGCACTTGTCAGTGGTCTAAGCAAAGCTGGTCTAGACTTGCTTACTGTTGTGTTCATTCTGGTGTTTTCTAATTGCTGAATAAAAATGAAAACACTGGACAAAAAAGACACTAGATATGGAAACATTTTTATTTTTAGTTTCAAATACATGTTAAAGGTATTAGACTCTATTAATTTGTTATCTTCCTCACATAACTTTAAATTTTACATGATTAATTTAAATTTCATCACCCTTTCATATAAAATGGCCCTTTTTTACTATTTAAATTAACATCGGAAATCTATAATTTACTGACAGTTTAAAAACACTTTTAAGTTAATCCAGAAAATTTATATTCATGTTATTTTTTTCAAGATTTTTAAACTATAGAACATTTTCTTTAATTAGTGATAATTCTGTGAAATTTATATGCAGCTTACATTTTCACACCAATTTTCAAATTCTCCAGTTAGTTTTTCCAGATGCTTCTTTATATTCCCTGATTTGGGCCCATTTTGACTTTGTGGGAGACGGAATATGAAAAGTATAGGGGCGGGAAGACTGTTTTGTTTGCTACAATTGTGTCAATATCATTATGTTGTTGGATGATTATAGGATTTGGAAGCCTGGGACTATTCTTCACCTATTTCTCTGAGAAAGACTCTACTCAACAAGAAAAGGGTTTGCTCTCCGCTGTGTAGCATGCAAATGTGTGTGATGTATCTGAGTGTAACTTCCATGTGTCTGTCGTCTT